GCGAGGTAGGGGGGTAACGTAACTGGACTGTATTGGCTATCTAGGTCATGTTCCTTTGGATCGGCATCACGCTTCGTGGACGAGCGGAGACCAACCACTTCTCCTGAAAAGAAACAAAGGAGTGGTATAGAACCTGGTCCTGGTAATAGGAGTCTCTGCTATTAACGTCGTCATCATCACCTTATAATTCAACAGTAGTGGTTGTCATAGGAATCTAAACTCGTATTGTTAGGATACTATGGGTAGTAGGAATGGCAATTCTCGAGCAGGTGCCTATTCTCCCCCCAGCGACTTCAGCGGTAGACCCTTTACCTCTCATGGGAACATCACTTTCGGCACGGGAGGCAGAATGTTTCCTAAGTGCATGGAGAAGATGGCACGGAACTCCCCAGGGCCCGGTATTTACGAGATTAGAAATAAGTAGTATGGAGGGGCAACTCGTAGCTCTCATTGGTAGTATCATATTTTCTATGGTGACACGGAAAGTGTTTATAAGTAGGGGTAGTAAGAAATTCCTAGGGAGGACGGGTAGGGTCTTGGCAGGAACCGCAAAGGGTCAGCAACCCTGAGCGATCGAGCAATTGGGGTCGCTGGTCGGCATGATTGGTACTACGACAAGGACATTATCGCCACTCGAGGGAAGCCAGGTGACGGTCCATGCCCTCTCGTCGTCCTCTATGGTCAGTGACAGGTCCGGGAACATACGACTACAAGGTTGGATCAGAGGAGCCGTGCATGAGGTTTGGCACCAGCAAGAGGCCTCCTATATACCACATTTCCTCTAGAGGTCATCCCGGACCAGGTCAGCGTTCGAGCCACGACACAGAGTAGTGAGAGTTCGTAGGTGCATATGATTTGAAGTCGACCTTGGAAGGCCTTAAGTACACCTTCGCTGGTAGGGACAAATATGGAGGTGCGCTGACTGTGGTTAACGAGTGAGTGTGAACGGGCACCAGGAGTGGGTCCAGGGTTGGTTGCTGTCAGTGGCACTGTGGGCCCACAGCTGACGCAGCCCACGCAGTTCGGATGAGTGGACAAGCCAACAATTCTGCGAGTTTAATTA